ATATTAACTTAGTTTTTTTAAAAAAAATTCAAGAGCATGATAGGAATTTATAGAACAGTGGATATAATCAGACAGCATAATCAAAGGCATATGTTAATAGTTACAATTCCCCCTGAACATTATTGTTGTACATTTCTGTTGATATAAAGCAAGAAAACTAATTGCATCCATTATTCACCAACTAAGAGGACTTTGGTACCAATGAAGCGTAAATTTACTGGTCAGTTTTGCAAATATTCCACATCTAGCTCACTTATGTGCTAATTGTGTCATTCCCGTCATGTATCACTCACACTGAGTTCAGACCATGAATCATTCAGTGCATAATTCTGTTCCTTTATAGTTTTAATCAAGAAAAAAAAGTGCTTTCGGTAAAGCTCATTTACATTACTCAGTATATTAACCCTGTGAAAAATGTTCCTGGAAAACTCTAAAGGAGGAATATAATCCTTAGGCACCAGATAGAAAATGCATATCCAAATGCAAAAGGGAATTACAATTCAAATAAAAATGAACTAATCTACTTCTGACCATAAGCTTAAGGTTACAAGACTACTGATACACAAACCGGAACAAAGTTTGTCTTCATAGTCTTGGCAAGGAAATGACAAGTGAATGTGATATGTTAGGTTCTATTAGGAACATAGTAACATAGGGAACATGAGTAGGATGTTCAGCCCTTTGAGCCTAACCCACCATTTCATTAGTTCATGACAGTTCTTTGTATTAATTCTATTTCCTCATCATTTCTCCATATATCTTATTACCCTTACTTTTCAAATACTTATTTCCCTGTGAAGCAATTCAATTCATTCTATATCTGTGGCATTCTGGACTGTGAATCCCACAGTGAATTTAAATGAAAAAATTGCAACTGTAATACAAATGGACACACAACAGTTCAGCTTTACAGCAAACCAAAACCCTGTTTACCACAACCAATCACAGGAGCAGTCTGTCCTAGTTCCTTAAGTACTACAGAGGTACGTTTCTGGGTTCATGGGAAGGCCAATCCTAGGCTGCATTATGATAGGTAAAAAATGCAGTGATTTTAAACTGGATTCCCTAACAAGGAACCTGGAAGTACATGATGCAACTCATTGGAATTTGACTACAATGCAATCTACTTTGGGAGCAAAATTCCCATCGGTTGCATTGACGTGCTTCAGAGAAGGATGACTCCACCTCCACCACCTTTGTTTTTTTTATTAAGGATGTGCCGGTTGAAGAATAATACTTAGAAAGTATTAGGAAAAGGAACAAAAGATCAAAGTAACAATTTACATTTTTAAAATAAATACAGTATTTCCATTATGTAAACATTTTCTGAAAAGATCTAATGCCAAACCCTCCTGTCATACTTCAAAGCTATAACATAAAGAGCTCTCTAACATTAATACTGAGAAAGCATTAAACACTTTCTATTATAATATGGAAAGCTTACTTTAGCAATCTTGAGATTTAGATTGTTTCAGGAACATTTGGCTTTGAAGAACGCATCCTAAGAAAAACAACTTGCATATCATGTTCGAACATTGACAGTTTTGCATGGAAGAGAAATATTGTATAATTCAGCGAGATGACTTACGTCACAGTAAATATATACTGAATGCAACAAAGTGGGAATGATTGTGATATTTTCTTAATAGATTATAGGTCTGTCTTAGTTGATAGCACTCTTGCCACTGGGTGGGAAGGTTGTGGGTTCAAACGATCACATTGGGACTTTGAGCGCATAGTCCAGACACTTCAGTCCGGGGCTGGGGAGTGTTGCTTTATTGGATAATGCTAGCATTTGGTTCTATCTGCCCTTTCAGGTGGATGTTAAAGATCTAATGGCATTATTTAAAAAGAGAAAGGAGTTTCTAAAAAGGGAATAATAATAATAATAATAATTCTTGCATTTGATATAGCGCTTTTCACATCGGGAGGACGTCCCAAAGCGCTTCACAGAACACACTGTAAAGTGAATTGACTGTATATTTGTGGGCGAACGCGGCAGCCAATTGCGCACAGCAATGTCCCACAAACAGTCGTAGATTGAAAATGACCAATTTATTATTGTTTTTGGTTTTGGAGGGATTATTATTAGGCGTGTGGAGTAAGGAAACTTGCCCAAGGTTTCGCCCTGCCTGGAATTGAACTCAGGTCTCTCACTTACAAAGCGAGTGTTCTAACCACTGAGATACAGGACTCCACAAAAGGCTAGTATCCTGGCCAACAATCCTCTAGATTGCCATGACCCCCTCTGCCTTCCACCATCTCAGAAACATCGCCCAGCTCCGCCACTGTCTCACACTGCAAGCCGCCGACACCCTTATACACGCTTTCATTACATCGAGGCTTGACTATGCAAACTCCTAGCTTGTCACCCTCCACAACTCCTACTTCATAGTTTGCTACTTGTGGGACATGCTGTGTTCATTGTGTGCAAATTGACTGCTGCTCTCACCTACAAATACAAAGCGACTGCACATCACTTCACTTCACTTCACAGTGAAGTGTTTTTAGACTTATTATTGTATCAAACACAATAATTATTTTATTCAATGTGATAATTATGTAATGTTTCAATTTTCCTCTGAATGCATAACAGAATAACATGTTGAACTTTATGATTGATTTTGGATGATCTTTAATTTGGCTGTTTTAATAGAATGATAAGTTGGAAGCAATTGCTGCAAAAAATGATTATTATGCTGAAAAAAAGGCCTCAGAATTTGTACCCAAATCCCAGGAGAAAACACATAACATGTTCACAAAAACACTTCTTGTTCAATTTATGGTTATGTCAGTGTTTGAACTTCTGCAAACAATGGACATGCGTCCAGGCAAGACAATTCCACAAACAGCAAAAGTAGCAGTGAAGAATTTGATTGAAGAATCACTGCTGAAATCCACCTCTACTTTCCGATATTGAAGTGGGTTTCTAGCTTGCATTAAAGCTAAATTTCTGGGATATAATTTGTCAGTTTACTGCCATAACCAAAGCAGAACAGCAGGAAAAAGTGTGATTTAAACAGATTTTTTGGAGGGCTAATTTGTGGTATTTCTTAACGAGATTTCTTAATAAGAAAATGTTGTGCTGTACTTTTAATATCCAAAAGGAGTTTCCAGAAAGAGTCTCCATTTGTATTTTCGGAAAGTTGAATAAGGAATCACCATAAGAAATACTGAAAGTTATACCCCAGAATATGATGCCAAGTCAGGACTGTCTAGTACCTTGGGAGGTCACCCTGGTGTTGTTATTGCCTTTCACCTGATGTAAAAGGCGGCGACAACAACAACAACAACAAATTTACATTTGTATAGTGCCTTTCACGTCAGGAGGACGTCCCAAAGTGCTGGACAGTCAATGATTTGGACCAGAGCTGGTAGGGGGGAAGGAGGGTGACCGAGGGCACGGGCGATGAGGACGGTCTTGAGCTGGGTCTTGAAGGAGGCAAGGGAGGGGATTGCAGGATGGAGTTCCACGGGGTGGGGGCAGAGTGGCTAAAGGACCACCCACCAATGGTAGGGTGGCAAGCTGGGGGACATGAAGCAATCCAGAGTTCGCTGAGTAGAGGGAGTGGGCAGGTTGATAGGGGTAAGGGGGTTGCAGAGATAGGGAGGGAGAAAAGCCATGGAGGGCTTTGAAAGCGAGGACCAGGATTTTGAACTGTAGCCTGTGTGATGGGAAATCAGTGGAGTCAGGTGAGGATGGGGGTAATAGGGTCACGGAGCCTGGTGTGGGATAGGACATGGACTGCAGAGTTCTGGATGATCCGCAGCCTATGGAGGGAGGCGTTGGGGATGCCAAAAAGCAGGGAATTTGCATAGTTGACACTGGATGTTATGAATGTGTCTATGAAGATCTCAGCGGTCTGTAGAAGCAGACAGCTGCGGAGCCAGGCGATGTTGTGAAGGTGAGGAAAAGCGGAGCGGGTCATCACATGGATGTGGGTTATGAAAGATAACCCACATCATAGTTGAGGGTTGAGCAGGACGCCGAGATTCTGTATTGGCTCCGTGAGATGTAGAGTGCATCCATGGAGGGAGATGTTGTAACCTCCCGAGGTGAGGAAGCGCTAATGAGAGCCAAGCAGGAGAGCCTCGGTCTTGTTGTTATTCAACTGCAGGAAGTTAGCTCTCATCCAGGACTTGATGTCCGACAGATAGTCTGTGAGAACAGCAGTGGTCCTGGAATTGAGAGTGGAGGCAGCAAGGTAGAGTTGGGGTGTCACCAAAGGGTAGCATATAGATATTGAAAAGGAGAGGGCCAAGGACAGAGTCCTGAGGGACACTACACATGACGGTGCGGAGGCTGGAGGAGAAGCCGTTAGTGGCGACAAAGTGGAGACAGTGGGAGAGGTAGGATTCATACCAGGCAAGGGCAGGTCCAGGCTGAGATGGTGTAAGAGGATAGGATGGTTGACAGTGACGAATGCAGCAGAGAGGTTAAGGAGGACAAGGAGGCAGAGAGAGCCCTGTTTGCAGATGTTCAGTGTATATAAGTGTAAATTTGCCTTGTACTGTAGAATACTTAGGTAATTTTGGATGNTTTTTCAACAATGCCATTTGAGCATTTGTTCAATCCCATGCTAACTAACTAACTACATGGAATTTCACACTTTATATCTTTTGTGAGATTAAAGTTCACTTTTTTGACCAGAGTTCAGATTAATCAATTAAAGACAGATAATACTAATCAAAACTAATATTTTATAAATGTAACTTTATTTTAAAAATCTTCTCCAGATTGATTTAATTGATAGATTCAAAGCTCAACAATGTATCTCTGCTAATGCATAACTGTGTGACTATTGTCAAATGACAAGGAGCTAATGGAAAATAATTTTCAGTAAAGTGTTTTCCCCAGTAAGAGGCAGCATCAACTTTAAATTTAAATATTGATAAAAAAAATTAGTTAGTCCTGAGATGTGTGCATTAAACAAGCAATTTGAATCCATGACTTTTCCTTTTAAGATGTTTATGAAATAATGCAATTTCTTTTTTTCTAGGTGATAAATCAAATACGTATCTCAGAGCAGGAAAGCACGACACTGCAGGACTTGCTGGAGTGGAGACGTCGCATGTGTGAGGAGAAAGGAAACTGGCAAAAGCTAGAGAATTTATTTCACAAAACTGAGTCCAGAACCACAGAACGCCCTCCTCCCACACACTGCAAAAGAAACAAGCCTACTTAGAAAAGTGGAAGACACCCCATAACAGACTTTCAAGTGGACTATGGGACCCACCCCAACAATGTCTAATGTTTGACCGTGAACATGCATCTGAGGACTTTAATTGCTTGTTGAGCAACGATATTTTGAAAAGTTTATCCAATATATTTAAGGTATAGACATAAAAGGCTTATGTATTTCTAGAATTATACTATTGTCTAAATCCCCTGAAAAGATTTATGGTTACAACAAAGTTTGTGACAACTATCTATTCTTTTCCATGTACAATGGGTCCAAAATGCAATGTTCTGTACATCAGGTTTCAGTTGTTATTTATGGCTTCCGGTTGGCAAATATTGGATTGCAGGATACAAATAAGAATCCTAAAACAGCAAACCACAAGCTGGCAAAAAGGGTTCCGAGAACAAACCTTCCTGCTGCTGTTTTACGTGTTGGATATTTTGGGATCTTGGTGACTTGGGATTCATGAATACTTATTTTGATAAGCTCATGTATCTCGCTTGCAATCCATATCCAGACTGGAAATCATATTAACAATCCATGTGTTTTAATATTTTAATTTTAAATAACTAATTTTAAGTCCCATTAGCATCAATGTTTGTGTACAATATCATCAAGTTAGATGACAACCTAAACATTCAACGTGGTGTAGAAAAATATAAATCAAGGGCATACAGTCAAGATATTATTCTGAACAATGCACAATTGTTTTATAAAAGTAATAACGTACAAAAGTCATAGTCAGAGGATAGTATTGAATACTTTGACATGAAGATTTTAATCTCTTTTTTTAATATTGGTCACCTTTATTTTGGAGGAGAGAAAAAGTGTCAGGATTGACGAGCCAAATCCTGCAAGAACTAATTCTTACTATATTTCTAGAAATCAACTACACTGGTGCTGCTTTTTCCTTTAAATTATACAGGACATTCCTCTCCCCTCCTCTCTGTAAACTGTAACCACTCTGTCCTAGCCTTACTTAATGGCAACGTCAATACTTTCAATCTTGCTACGTTTGCCACAGAATATTATTAGATTTCCAAATAAGTGCTGGCATGGTGAACTTGGGCTTTTGCCATAGCATATTAAATTTGATGTACTATGGCTTCCAATTTGTTCCATTAAACTGTAATGATGTAGAAGATATTTAATTACTGATAAAACTACAGTACTGTGTAGAAATAGTGGCTCAAGCAGATAATAATAGTCCCAAAATAATTGACGTTTACATGCTAGAGGCATTACTGCACATTATTAGTCATCTTTGTAAAGTAGTAACATAAACACGTACTATTGTTGGAAAATTACATTTGCTGTTTGACTACACTTTTTGGCCAGATTCATCAGCTCATGATCAAACAAAATAATGGAATTATTTTGAACATCTTATGCAAAGAATAATCATATTTCCTGATATATATCATTAATATTTTCATTAGAACCATATTACCGTGTGCCACAAACTTATTTTGTGGATCATGCTTTCTTTCTCTATGGTTACTAGTTTTGAGATTGCTTGCAGGAATTCTTGTTCATCCTCTGTAACACAGCCTCTACTAAGAGCGTTTAGCTTGCTAAAGAAAAATTCTCCAGAAATGTTCCTGATCCCAAATGAAATTAAGAAAATCTCCATAATATGTAACTAACTCCACCATTCAGCCCATTTCTGACAGCGTCTATTAACAATATTGGTTCTCTCCTTCCCTTCACACAACCCCATCATCTCGGGATCCATTGTGTCCAGTTGGTCATTTGTTCTTCTCAGGCTTTTCCTTCCTATAATCACCACTCTCTTTCCGACACAGATATTTATTTAACTTTGATTTTCAAGGAGTTAAATAACACAAATGTTTCATGCCATTTGATACTTGTTTACAGACAATTGTTTCAAGTATTAACAGAGGATTATAATTCAATCACTTACATTCAAATATCTATTCAAAGGGTATCATTATATTCTCCAGAGTAATTTTCCTTATTATTGACCATATTTTTCAATGGTCAACTGGTATATAAGACTCATGTCATACTGGGAAAAATCTGATTGGCTTCTTTCCATGTTGTCTTAAAGAAATTGTTTGATTTTACATCTTCATTCATTGCCAATCATATAAATTGGGCATCCTAAATTTCAGTGCAGTTTCAAGATCCCTACATGCCAGGGATGTGGACTTGTTTTACGTAGATTACAAGTAAACTGGGAATGAATGAATTTAAAGCCATTCTGATGTTTTAGAACAGATTTGTATAACATGTTAAATCTGTTATGAAACAATGAATTTTCACCCCATTATTCAATTTTTAACAATTATTTCACAACATCTTAATACAAATTCTTAAACCATAGAACATGAATTACTAGTTGAAGTGTTTGGCAGCTGAAGTGTCCAGATATTCATCTGAAAATAAAATCTTTACTGTGGTTTATTAATAATGGAGCAGACATATTGCCAAACATCTTTTCTAAATGGGATTTCACATGTTATGAAGTGAACTTTGAATGAATGCACTGTGCATTAAAAACCATGATATGACTAGTTATTCACTGTTTTTTTTGTGTGTCTTAACATGTCTTAAGAGCATCTAAAACCGACTGAGTTCCATCCATGTCATCTACACGTGGCAATTTCCAGGTTTAGAATGGAATATGGAGTCTCTCCCCAAAGGAATGCATCCTGATTATCCGGTTCCACAGAGTATTAGGCATAGGTTGGTAAGAGCCAAGGCTTGGGGACTCCAGAGTTTTTGTTGGGGTACTGCTGGAATCTAACTAACTGAAAACTGCATAGCTTGCCACTGAAGCACTGTCTCGCATGTCTCTTGTTGCTTGTCCAGTTAGGAACATCCTACACATTAGGGCTTTGGCTTGTAGGGTTAACAGGAGCGGAGTAGGACGAATCCTTGCAACCAATGACTTATCTGACTCTCCATGTCCTGTTGATGAGCCAGGCTGGCTGGTACGTCATCAGCGGTGTGCTGAAGTATCAACCCCTCCCATTATCAAGAAATACTGGATGAAAAAAGGTCCATCTAGTTTGCCTTCTACCTTCCTGGCGGTCGCATGCAAATATGTCTGAACTTCCTGTATACTATATTGTATAATGTTATTTCCTAAAAGAAAACTATCTAATCTGTGTTTGAAACAATCAACATTTCCTGATTCAACTGTCTCCCTAGGGAGCCTATTCCACAGGTTCACTATTTTCTCACTGAAATAGTGTTTGCATAGATTCATTCTGAATTTACCCCTCTCAATCGCAGGCCTTGTCCTCTGGGTTTACTGTTCTGGACAAGTTGAAACAGCCAGCCATAATCTATATTGTTTTGCCCCTTTAGAATCTTAAGTGTTAGCGTTCAGAGAGACTTTGGTATCCTTGTACACCAGTCACAAAAAGTTAGTTTGCAGGTACAGCAAATAATTAGGAAGGCTAACGGTATGTGGAGTCCTGTAGCTCAGTGGTTAGAGCACTCGCTTTGCAAGCCAGAGACCTGAGTTCAATTCCAGGCAGAGGGCGAAACCTTGGGCAAGTTTCCTTACTCCACACGCCTAATAATAATCCCTCCAAAACCAAAAAACAATAATAAATTGGTCATTTTTAATCTACGACTGTTTGTGGGACATTGCTGTGCACAATTGGCTGCTGCATTTGCCCACAAAAAATATACCGTCAATTCACTTTACAGTGTGTTCAGTGAAGCGCTTTGGGACGTCCTCCCAACGTGAAAAGCGTTATATCAAATGCAAGGATTATTATTATTATGTTGGCATTTGTTACAAAAAGGTTAAAATATAAGAGTAGGGAAGTCTTGCTGCAACTGTATAGGGCCCTGGTGAGACCACACCTAGAGTATTGTGTGCAGTTTTGGTCTCCTTATTAAAGAACAGATGTACTCGCCTTGGAGGGGATACAACGTAGATTAACTAGGTTGGTACCAGGGATGAGGGGGATGCGTTATGAGAATAGATTGAGCAATAGGATTTAGGCCTATATTCTCTAGAATATAGAAGAATGAGAGGTGATCTTATAGAAACCTATAAGATTATTAAGGGGCACAACAGAATAGATAGTGGGAGACTTTTTCCCCTGGTTGGAGAAACTATAACCAGGGGTCACAATCTTAAAATTAGGGGTAAACCCTTTCACACTGAGTTGAGGAAAAACTTCTTCACTCAGAGTAGTGAATTTATGAAATTCTCTACCCCAAAGGGCTGTAGATGCTCAGTCCTTAAACATATTCAAGACTGAGATTGATAGATTTCTTGTGGATAAAGGGATTAAGGGATATGGGGATAAGGCGGGTAGGTGGAGGTAGAATAGATCAGCCATGATCTTATTGAATGGCAGGGCAGGCTCGAGGGAGCGAATGGCCTACTCCTGCTCCTAATTCTTATGTTCTTATGCTCTTAAAGATAGCAATCATGTCACTGCTCAATCTTCTCTTTTCCAGCATGAACATGGCCAATTTACGTAGTTGCTCCTCATAGTCGAATCCCTCCATTCCCTCTATCATTTTGGTTGCTGTCCTCTGTATCTTCTCGATTTTTCCAATATTCTTTTTGCACTGCATCAAGCAAAACTGTACACAATACTCTAAGTATGGTCTCACCAATGATTTATACAGTGGTAGGATTACACCACTATTTCAGCTTGTTATTGGTCTTTTGATACATCCCAACATCTGGTTTGCTTTACTCACTGCTGCAAAACATTGTTGGGAGAGCTTCAATTTATTGTTAATCAGGACCCCTAAATCCTTTCCATTTTTCATACATATTATTTTCCTTCTGGCTAAATAATAGTCCCTTCCAGGATTTTTTGACCCCATGTGAAGTACTTTACATTTCTCCACATTGAATTTCATCTACCACCGATCTGCCCAATTCCCAAGTATGTTCAAATCCTCCTGTAACCTATCTTGTTCAGCTTTGCAATCTACCGCCTTCATTAGCTTGGTGTCATCTGCCAATTTAGCCACTGTGCTTGCAACTCCTAGTTCCAGAT